TTGAAGAAAGACAGCCCCACCAGCCATCCGCTTTTCAAACGACGGGTCATTGTTCGCTTCGGCTGGGCTACAGTACTACATAGTATGATCCACTTTTCCTTGGCTTCGCACGTGCAAGGAACTACTGCATCGTCATCATCTTCATATGGTATGGAATGGAGTGCTAAATCTGGTATCTTTGAGCTCAATTCTTTGGCGTAGAGTACTAGTACTGGTAACTGGAGATGGTACACACGCTCGACATCTCCCACAAACCCAAACACCCGCGAACAGCGGTCATGGTGCAACCTGCCCCCCAGTCTGCTTCCAACGGTGCGCCGCCTGCAGAATTTTCGTAAGGCTCGCCGCTGCCTGGTCGTCCGCCGGGAACACATAGTCCATGTACTCCTCGTATCGGTCGTCGTCCAGCTTGCGTCGCTTCTTGACCCGCCGGGGCATCTGCTCCTCGATCTTCTTGATGTCCTCGGGAGTTCCGTGTGTATGTTCGAAGGCCCGCCAGGCGTTGAGAAGTTCCACTCGCTGTAGCTTCGTCAGTAACATCTTCCCCGGACACAAGCGCCAATAACTCACCTCCTCCTTCATTTCCTTCTCCTTGAACACCTTGTGGGCCCGTTCGAACACAGCGCGTGCCCGCCGCTTGGCCTCGTCGCTGACCGGCCGCTCCTCCTCTTCCTCTTCTTCTTCTTCCTCCTCCTCTGGCACGTTGATCTCGAACCGCGCGTAGTTGATCCACACCTTGACGTGGTCTGTCTTCTGTAGGAGACGCTCGTACAGCTGCCGCACTCGGTCGTACTCGCCTTCGTACTCTTCAAAGTCAATGTACGCCTTCCAGACAAGCTCCGGCATATCCAGCGTCGGTTGATCGATCCCAAGCTCGAAGATCGCCCGCGCACGTTCCGAGTCATCCAGTCCTCGCTCCAGTTCAGCGTACTTGATCCACGATTGGCTATTGGACGGGTTCCATTCGATCTGTTTTTCGTACAGGGTCCGGCACCGCACGAACTCGAACAGCTGGCGCTCGAGGTCAATATAACCCCGGAAGAGCTTGTCCTTGGGGCACATCCCAATGGCTTGGCCCAGCGTCTTCCGCGAAGCCTGCAGATCCATCTGGCGGATGTCGAACTGCGCTTTCAGCAGCCAGATCTTGGCAAATGTGAATTTCTTATGTGGGATCAGCTTTAGGCATTCTGTGTAGATCTGGCGGGCCCGATCCACATCCTTGGCCTCCATCTCCTCCCAGATGGCGTAGAAGATCCACAGGTAAATGTACCGTCTCCAATGCCGCTTCTCCTGCGACGGAGGGATCTGCGCAATCGCCCGTTCATAGACATCTCGTACCCGGTCTGGATCGCCCGAGGTTTCTTCCAACCGGGCAAAGTCAAACCAGACATCGTAGTTTCGCGGGTTCTCCTTGAGCTGTTCCTCGTATTGCACCCGGCGCTTGGACAGGATCACATCCTCGACGCCCTCGCGGTCGCCAAACTGCTTCTCAAATGTTGTGTAGGCCTTGTGAAGCGCCATCGCCTTGGAACGGGGCAGCCGGTCCAGGGCGTATTTGTAGATCGCTCGCGCCCGCTCATACTCCTTGAGCTTCGCCTCGAATTTGGCGTACGCGATGAAGAGCTTCTCGTCCATGAAATCCTCACCCAGGGCCTCGATCGCCATCCCGTACACTTCCCGCACCAACTCACTCGTCCCGTACTCCTCCTCGAACCGGGCCCATTTGATCCAGTTCCTCGGCTCCGGGTGGACGATCGTAAACCGCTGGAAGATCGCGCGCGCGCGCTCAAACTCATTGTACCGCTTCTCAAGCTTGATATACGCACTCCACGCGCCCTCGTCCGGCTCCCATGACATCCACCGCTCAAACACCTGCCGCGTACCCTGGATATTCCCCAGCGTCTCCTCCATGTACACGTACTTGTACCAGAACTTGTCCACGCGGGGCAGGATGGTGACCGCCCGGTCCAGCAAGTTCCTCGCATGGTTGATGTTGCGATTCCGCATCTCCGACTCGATATACCGGATCCAGAGTACCACCGAGGTCGGGTTGACGTCCAGCGCCCGTTCGAAGATCGATCGCGCCCGGCGGAATTCCTTCTGCTCCAGTTCCCAAGATGCATACCGCATCCAGTTGTTCATGTTCAGCCGATTGCGACGCACATAGTCTTCAAACTCCTTTCTCTTGCGGCCCTGGTACTCGTGCAGTTCTTCGAGGTCCGCGAATCGCTGTGTCGGCGCCTGCAACGAGGGCTCCTGCCGATCAACAGCCTCTCGAAGCAGCTGCTCCGCTGAGATCTGGATCGGCGCGGGGGCCTTGTTCTTGACCCTGGGAGGGCCGCGAGACGACTCCATGGTGACAATGGGTGGTGTGTAGGAGGTAAGATGGGTCAGGTATCAACAAGCGGAGGTGGCAGGTCCAACTTTCGGTTGTACACGTGATACAAGTAGCACAGACTTAGAAAGAAATAGTCGGGGCTCGATCAGCAACCAAATCTGGACGTTGGATCCCCAACTCCAGCTGATCGTTGTCGAACAAGTCCGTTGGTTCTTCGTCCATCAAAAGTCGGAAGCTGCGCTCTGGGTCTCTGACGCCACCCGGATGACTAAGCAGAGGTCCCTTCCTTAGTGCCGTCTAGTCCAGTTGTGGCGGGCCGACGACAGTTATTTCAACTTGACCAGCTGCCTCACTTGCTTCAGCGGTTGCCTGTGGTTACATTGCCGCCATCATGTCGAACGCGGAGGAACTCTTGAGAGATTTCGAGGAGGATGACGAGGTATTCCAGGCCGGTGAGGAGATTGAAGAGGATGTCGGCGAAGAGGTGCAACGGCCAGCGCCGGAGGTCACCAACGAGTTTGACGTCGCCGTGTCGACCACCGACGAACTCACACGCCTTCACAAGAGTCTCCGAGACCATTACTCGATCAGATTTCCAGAACTAGAAACACTTGTTACGAATCCTATTGACTACGCAAAAACCGTTGCCATCTTGAAAAATGGCCCTCTTAACGATATCAAGGCCCTCTCGTCCTCGGCAGATAATATGGTCGGCGCGCCACTCAAGTCCATCCTGGATGGCCCCTCGCTCATGGTTGTCGCGGTGGAGGGGACGACGACGCGTGGACGCGAAATGACCGAGGCCGAGCTCAAGGTCGTGCTGGATACTTGTGAGAGGATTCTCAAGCTAGACCGCGAGCGGACGGCGCTTACGCAGAGCATTCAGTCGCGCATGAGCCAGATTGCGCCTAATCTTGCCGCTTTGATAGGACCGGAGACTGCGGCCCAGTTTCTCAACCAGACCGGCGGGTTGAGGGAGCTGGCTAAGATCCCAGCGTGCAATCTGGCCGCCCAGGGCTCCAAGAGATCGGAAGGGCTAGGATTTGCTACGAATATCGGTATCAGATCGCAAGGCTTTCTCTACCACTCGCCCATCATTCAAGATATTCCGAATGATCTAAAGAAACAAGCAATCCGGATCGTCGCGGCTAAGATGGTCCTAGCGACTCGGGCGGACGTGGCCAAGTACAGCCCCGATGGTTCTTTGGGCGAGGAATTGAAACAACAGTGCTATCAACGCTTGGAAAAGCTGACCGAGCCTCCTCCAAACGCTGGCGTGAAGGCGCTTCCGGCGCCTGACGACAAACCATCGAGAAAGCGAGGTGGACGGAGAGCGAGAAAGGCCAAGGAAGCAATCGCTATGACTGAGCTACGGAAAGCGCAGAACCGGGTCGCATTTGGCAAGGAGGAGGCAGAAGTTGGCTATGGCACCGGCGAAGGCACCGTGGGTCTGGGTATGCTGGGGCAGCAGAACGACGGACGGGTCCGGGCGACTCAGATCGACCAGAGAACCCGGGCCAAGCTCAGCAAGTCGAACAAGGGCTGGGGAGCGGCCACTCCGGTCAGCGGGACCGCTACTTCTCTGCGTGGGTTTGGTTCGGGCGCAGGTGCAGGCGGCACTGCGAGTGTCCTCCAGGCCAAGGGGCTGCGAACCTCTGGAGTTGGTCCTTCATTGGCAGGCATTGCCGGCACGGCCAGTACGATTGCCTTTACACCTGTGCAAGGTCTCGAGCTGGTTGATCCCAAAGCGCAAGCCGAGCTCCAGCGGAAGCGCAAGGCGGAGGAGGACCGATGGTTCAAATCAGGTACATTCACGCAGGTGGGCGGCCAGAGCAGTAGTACCAACAGCGGTGCGAATGGCGGGTTCAAAGTTCCTCCACTGCCTGCAAGGAAGAAGGTCGACACCGGCGAGGGCAAGATGGCGCCACCTCCGCCGCCCGTGAAGCCATAGCTTTGTCCATGTTTCTTGCTATTTCACTGTTGAGCATTGACGGCGTTGGGGTTCTTGATCATGATACCAAATAGTGATAGATCTTAAAAGAAATGAAATATATCCACATCGTTATTCGTACCGAGTCAGTTCCCTACATTGCCGTAGAGCCGAGTGGCTGGAATATGGATATCGGCGAGCCAAGGTTCGGCTTTGTACTGCAACTCCGAATGATGGCCGATGGCGTGCGCCGTGCAGAATTTGGCGCAATAAACTGCGCAATCGGTGAGCTATTTGACATTATCTACGGAGTAGTATTCGCATTTACATTTGTGTGCTATTCGCATTGCTGAGCATCAAGAAGTGCTGTCTTCGCATATTGTAGACTCTGGATAGTCCTTCATCTATCCCACTCCACAAGCGAATCGTCAAGATCTGAACCCATGAGATCAACCAAGGTACTGATCATGAACCAATTTCAAGGGTGAATTCAATTATGAAGCATGTGGGCCGGGGCGTTTCACAAAGCAAAGAACCATCAAGTCGGCATATTGCGTGCTCGGGTCGGCATGTCTTATAAATTGTCGTTTCCTACAATGTAGTCAGTTACTTTTGCAATCTGAGTAGGCTACCGCTAGCATTGCAGTCAATTGACCCATAGTCGATCTTTTGAGGTTATAGTCAGGTCGAACAAGAGGAAAAGGAGGCGACAGTGTGGAAGCCAATCGCACCATGGCCCCCGGGATACAAGACTCGCTGAGCGAGCTCCCAGCAGCAGTCCTCACTGAGGAAGAAACGTCTTCAACCAAACGGAGCAGAAGCAGACGCCCACTCTCACTCATCCATCACAGCCTGGTCACATCCGACATGGACGCGCTGAAATTCCACGCCGCCGCATCACTCCAGCTGTGCTTCAGTCCCTATCAAGATATCACCATCAGCAGCATAGCAGACTCCGACTCAGATCTAGATGCTCAGCTTCTGATAACATCACCATACAACTCCCCTCTCCACCTTCTCAACCTCCAAACCCTCGATCCACACTCTCGTCTCCTCGCCCAGGCTCTCACAATCCTCCGCCCCGTGCGCGCCGACTACGCCACAGCCCCCTACGCAGACTCCTTCAACTGGCCCTCTGTCTTTGCGTTCCTGCGGGATCTGAGCACACGCGAGGGATACACTTGGTCCCGAACGAAATTCTACGTCGTCGTCTTCCGGTCAACCTTGCTAGCGGACGCGGATGCGGACCGACTGCATGAGCTGGATGCACGGTCGCATCAGGAGGCTGTGGCCAGTGGGGGGTTACTCAAGTATTGGTTTGGGACGAAGAATGCGCGGAGGGAGAATCTGGCGACTTGTAAGTTTCCTTCTTTTCTTCCTTTGTCTGCTCTTTTTTTTTTTTTTTTTGAGGGAGGCAAGATTGTTGATGATGATAATGGAGTAGGTGTCTGGCGGAGCCGGGAGGATGCGCATCGAGGAGGGACGGGGCCATGGCATCGGAAGGCGAGAGGAGCGGCTAGAGAGATGTATGAGAAGATTGTGTTTACGACGATGGAACTGGTGGTTGGGGATGAGGTGGGAGAGTGGTCGTTTGCGGAGTGGGCTGGTTGAATTGTAGAGATACCCTTTGTACAGAGCATGAATTTACTTTAAGCTATTTTCATTGAGAGATTGCTTGTTTATCCATGCAGTCTATATCGCATGGAGAATGATTCCCCGCTTGTGGAGAGAGAGAATGGACCCATCATGCCCTAAAAGAGTAGTATTCCACGCCCATGACTGCCGAATGAACTCATTCTAAGCGATGAATTATCAAACTAGAATAGATCTGTTATCAGAAATAGATGCGGGGAGGGAAATGATTGAGGTATATAGTTGAACTCACCTGGATGGCTCAACCTGCAACGACATCCCACTTTCACTCAATAAGACATACTCAAAATGGTCGGACTCGCAGTAGAACACAACATCCAAGTCAACGATGGCCCCTTGGCCTCCGAAAACGCCGCTCTTCTCCGTCCCTCAGACCCCTCCCTTTCCCTGGACGAACTCCGCGCCCGCTACGAACAAGACGGCTACCTCTTCCTCAAACACCTTCTCCCCCGCGACGACGTCCTCGAAGCCCGCAGACAGTACTTCTCCCTGCTCGCCCCAACCGGCGTCCTCCAAGAAGGCACAGACCCCGTCCACGGCATCTTCAACCCCACCAAATCCCCCGATCAGTACCCCGGCATCGGCGCCGGCGCAGTAGGCAACAACGGCCGTCCAGGGGGCGAGCAGGCCGCAGAGTTTGTGGATCTAGCCATCGAGGCGCATTACCAGGATTGGTACGCGGAGAAGTTCTGCAACCATCCCGCTTTGGTCCGCTTCGTGGCCGAGTTCACGAGCTGGGGCGAGCATACGTTGAATTTCCGCCGGACGCTGCTGAGGAATAATACGCCTGGCACGAAACCTATCGGCGTTCACTATGATCAGATCTTCTTGCGGTATGGGGAGCCGACGAGTGTCACGGCTTGGGTGCCTATGGGGGATATCAAAATCAATGGTGGGGGGTTGATCTACCTCGAGGATAGTATGCTATCATCTTGTGTGCCTTGGCAATGCCTTGAGCGTTAGCTGACTGACCAGGCGACCCTGTTGGACTCAAGATCGAGGAAGAATTCACCACCAAGGCGAAGCAGGCCGGTTTGACCGATGAAGAGGCTAGATCGGCTTTCAACTCGAATATGATGGCGACGGGGCTTTTGTCCGAGTCGCCGGTCGAGTTTGCCAGGCAGCATGGCCGTCGCTGGCTGGTGTCTGCCTATGAAGCCGGTGATGTTGTCTTGCACAAACCTCATATGGTATGTCTCCGTCCTTTACCTCTAATGGATGTTATCCTGACAACCGCAGATTCATGCATCGACTATCAACAATGACCCGGATAATGTCATCCGTCTGGCGACTGATCTGCGATTCTGCGACTCTTCCAAGCCGTATGATAAGGTACGTTTGCTTTGGGCAGGTGACAAGTCAGACAAGTGCTTATATGCCTCAGAGATGGATGAACTTTTATAAATTTGGAGATGGTGTTTGATCATAGCCAGAGTAGTCTATTATCTATTACTGCATAGTCCACAGCAACAATCTACACTCAAAACGTGCAATGACATATCCTGTAACACTTAGCTCAGTTTAGTTCATCTTAAGATGCAGTGATCTTACAGCTCTCCATCGCAATATCCTCCCGTCCACCCATGACCTTGAAGGACACACTGTACGAATTAGCCAAATCCATCTTCTGGCCATAGACATAGGTGATAAAAATACCGCATTATGACAAGCCAGATTGGCAATCCCGTCGCCGCCTTCGATCTCGCAGGATGTCTCCACGTTCAGCTGGTTGACCTGAAGGGGTATGCTGTGTACCAGTTGGCAGAGAAAGCCATAGAAAATAATATTTAGGGTTTTCATTGTGATATATGTATTGGATAGCAATTTTGAAAAACTGAGTGAGGAAGTCGATCGAGAGAATGAGATGGCTTGAATATAACGGTTTGATCAAGGGATAGTCTTGTCGTCAGGGATGTGAAGCAAGGGCGGACGTTTGGCACTCGCAACAGGCTTAATCGCGCACTAGAAACCTCCATATCAGTTGAAGATATGCATCTTACATGCCTTGATATAAGAAAAGATGGCCCAACGTCGCATTGATGCATATTTCCTCGCCAGAGCTTCATCGTTCCAGGCACCTTATGTTTACGTAGATCTCCATATTCTCTCCGCTACGACGTTTATGTTCGGACTGGATTGGTTGCCTTCTGTCCCATAATTTCAACGAAGCAATCAAATTGTGTAAAATTTTGACAGAACGATCCTGTATTCCCAGAACAGATTTACCATGAGTCGAATGATCCCTGAGGTCTTCGGCCTTGCGCAAACGAAGATGAGTCGGTGATGAGGATGTGAGTCCATGTTAGGGCACGGATAGGCGTGGACGTAGCTGGATAGTGCGTGTTCCAATCAACCGTGCCAGTAGCATAACTGCTACTTAGTATAGAGAGGTAACAACAATTCTATATAACATACGATAAATCAACACTAATCATAACATGCAACATACAACACCATTGACTAGCAGCGGCCAACATCTATACAGACCACATAGCTCCCCTACGACAGAGAGACACCCCCCAGAAGCGGAAGCATATACACAACTGAGATCCACAGATTCCACACCCGAAAAGTATTCCGATCACTGGCTGTATCCCGCCACATAAGCATCCTAATAGCTACAGCAAACGCCAACGCGCAGCTCAAGCCAGTGGCAAGGGGACCAGAGCCCGCCAGAAGCGGACATATGACGCCCCAAACAGGCATCGGAAGTGCAATGCTCCATCGCGCCGCAGCATCCCCAATCACAAGGGGAAGCGTTCGACGGCCCCTCTTTGCGTCGCCTTCCTGATCGCACATGTCCTGCACGTGCATGGTCGTCAGGATAATCGCCGTGATGACCATGCTCCAGAGCCTGAGCGAGTACTGTCTGGCTTCAAAGGACTCTGTGAATACAGCAGACCCAGAACCAAGCGCTACCTCTACAGCTCCTGAGTTGAAACAGAAGTATCCCAATGCGTTGATAATATTTCGGATCACAGGGTTGTGGTCACCCGCCCCGAAGCTGTTGTAGCAGGTGCCTAGGATAATGAGACCGAGACACTGTCTGTGTCCGCCGCTGTAAAAAAAGCTGTAAACCACTGCAAGGGCGTAGAAGCCGAACATCAGGCGTTTTGCCTGGGATCCAGAGAGACGCTTGCTTGGAAGCGGACGCCAGGGTTTATTGAGGCTGTCTTCGGCGATGGACGAGGGACTGCGCTGGTTGTTCATCGTCAGAGGAAGAAGATTGATCCCGACCCAGCCAATGATCAGAGGTATTCGATAGACCGTATTCAGGTATGCGGGAAACTGATACTGTACATCACGGAAGTCCAGAGTGGCGAGAGCGTTGGTAATGCCAAAGATGGTGCTTGGGAGGAGAATGGTCTGGACATCACTTGCAATGAAGAGCCAGATGGTATATCCGCCTGATGCAACTGCCGATGAGAATTGACAGACATGAAAGCTCGGCCCGCCGATTGACATGTCGCTCTGAATCTTTGCTATGCACTGATGTAAGTCAGTATTTATCTTCGAGTAATCAGCCTTGACTAACCTTCATCTGTACTATGCTCTCAGAATGATAAACTTCGTCCCAGTGAGGTGTTTATAACTCGCACACGTAGTTGCAGCTCTTCGGCTCAGGAATCAGCTGAAGCCGTTGACAAGACAAGTGTGCTATACAATAATAGACATAACAGACATCAGGTCCTAGCATGCCTGAGCATCGATTGGCCTTCGACTGTCTGAGTCCCAAACACTTCCTGACCTTGACTCAGATATCAGGGGCTAATTCAAATGCGCCTTGTCAGGGAGGCCGGCCTGGAGATTTGGATATGACTAGTAGCCGCCCCTGCTCCAACAGATACTGTTTTAGATCTAATAGCTGATAAAAGGCGGTGCTCTCGAGCAATGCTGAGGGCTCAGCCCGTCATTCAGGCGACCTGGGGATGAGGACCTGCTCATCTTAGTCCAGAGCAAGAATGTTAATATGGCAGTGGGAGATAGTCGGGCACACGGAAGTCCACAACAAGCCTCGATATATTGACAAATGCATTGTCTTCTCAAGGATCGACTTGGACCCATTCCAGGTTCAACCTGGAACACTGTCATCAATCAGGCCCCAAGGCATGTCTCAGTTCCGTCATTTGCCCTGCCATTCTTTTTTCTGATTGAGCTCAGCCATGCGACGTTACACATGCAGCTTGGGAGATGTATTGCACTGCATCATTACGGGCTGTGTTCGCTGCCATAATGGGGGTTATTTTTTTATGCTGAAACAGCTGACAGTTATGTATTGGGGCCGTACATAAGCTTGAAGAATGAGGGGCATCACCTGCGATTGCCAGTCAGAGCGGATTCTTGTTGGCCCCAGTTTTATTACCATTGTAGAAGCTAGAGAATGGCGCAGTTGTCTCAAACGGGAATGTTTAAGCATCAAGAAGAATGGCACGATCTCGGTGCTAGGAACGGACGCCTGGGGATGACTATCGATTTACTGGGATGATACGGTGACAGTACCGAGTGAGTCAGACTGCATGGATATCCCATCGAATAGTTGTAGCTTCCTCGAGGCTTGACGGGCGTAGGTTGCTCGGCAGGTGAGAAATGCCGTGCTTGTGCGTACCTGAGGGCCTTAGGCAGCTACCTGGTCTAGTCCTTCACTTATATAGTTCGCTTGCTCATAATCGGAGGAGAAATCTCGACAGCACCTCGTCTCTCCTTGTTTCCATCCTTGACTGTCTTTCTACATTGCCCAGCACAGTCATCATCAGTTCATTTCATCCCTTCAACAATCCAACCCTGTTAAATCAAGACGTTTAGGCATGTCTTCCTCTCCAGAATACGTCTTTACCCGGGACTACTTGGACAACAACCGGTATGTTTATTCTAACTTTTGCTATTCTGCCTGCTTACATTTGCAGCATCAACCTGCAGCATTACCTGGTCGTCCAACTTTTCGGATACCGCATTCACCC